GGATGGGAGTGTCAGAGACAGTGAGACTGGCACAGGACAGAGCGGAGTTTAGGGCTCTTGTACATAGGGTCGCTATGAGTCGCAAACGACTCGACGGCACATAACAACAACAACAACATTGATTCCTGACAAGTGGTTTATTTTTCCTATAGGTGGAATCATTAAGATTGGGACCACCTTGATATCTGACCCCTACCATCTCTCCAGCCACTCCCATCTCATTCATTTGACCACCTCTCCAGCTTCATCTATTCCTCATCTGATCCCTACCACCTTTTTACCCTCTTGCTCCCTACAACTCACTTTTATTGGGATTCCCTCATTTTTACTGGGATTCCTTTAGGAATCTCTTACCCATCTCCAATGAGAAGACTACTTTGGGAAGGCTTCAGATAGATTCATTTCTATGTAAATTGATAAAGGGACAGATTATTGTTGTTGCTGCTCTTAGGTCATGTCAAGTACAACTGATCGAAACTGTGAACAACAGATCTGAACCTGTTCTGATCCTGTGCCATCGTTATACTTCCTGACATCTATAGCCCATTGCTCTAGCTCCACAGCCCCTACCTTCCTCCCATACCAAACCATACCAAATTCTTAGTAATGTTTATTATCAATCTTAATCATATGTGATTGTCGTTGTTATGTGCCATTGTATCTTCTCCTGTGATTCGTGACTTCCCCATGTACAATAGCTCTAAAGCCTGCCTTGTTCTGAGCCAGTCTCACTGACTCTGACACATCTACCCCCATTGTCCTATTTGCTGTATCAATCCATCTCATCTGGGGTCTTCCTTTCTTGCACTATCCCTCTACCCTTCTGAGCATGATGTTCTTCTCCAAGTACTGGTGGTACCTCTTGACCATGTGCCCAAAATGTGTGAAATGGCGTTTCAAAATCTTTGCCTCCAAGGACAAACTTTATTTCACCCACTCCAATATAGGCTGGTTTGTTCTCTTGGCGGTCCGTGCTATGTTCAATACTCTTCTCCAGCACTGCATCTCAAAGGCATTGATTGTTCTTCTATCTCTAATTATAAAGTGCTTAAGTGCCATATTTCTGAGGCTACAGTATTTTTCTCCATTGAATTACAATATTAGTAACTGAACAGAAAAGACTTTATTTTTCTTCTTTTTTAAATTACTATTTAATTTAAAAAGTCATTGATAAAGTTTCTTAAAAGCTGCTTACTACTGTGTACCAGCAGTCAGGAAATAGGACATGCATTGCATTGAGAAAATCTGCAGTTAGGGACTTTCCAAATTATTGAGGAATAATGATATCAGTTTGAGGTGGAGGGTTGGCAAAGGAGAGGAAGACTTTCGCCCAGACGGATTGATGCAGTGACTGCCGCCATGGACTCTTGCATGTCAGGAAGTGTGAGAATAGCACAGGAGAGAATAGGGTTCAGATCTTTTGTTTATAGGGTCACTATGAGTCATACTCGACTTGATGGCACCTAACAACAACAACAAC